TGTATTTTCTGTAAAATATTCGCCTTAATTCCAGATTTGACGGGTACAATAATTCCAATATCATCAGAAACCGTTCTTTTCCATTTTGTAATAGACAATCTAAGCTTTTTTAATAAGGCTCTGACAATACAAATATTACTTGCAATGAAAATAACAATAGCAAGGCAATGGAAAATCCAAGGTGAAATAGAATGGTAACGGATTACAAATCAGATATCTCCTCTCCATGGATGCAGAGAAGGTGTTTGATCGCCTTCTCTGGCCATTCCTCTTCACCACCCTGCGGAAATTCCGATTTCCCACCCCGATTATCACAGCCCTAACCACCTTTATGACAGACGGACAGCCAACCTCCTCATACCCAACGCAAAACTGATGGCTATCAAGATCCAAAATGGTTCAAGACAGGGATGCCCGCTCTCCCCGCTCCTATTCACCCTCTCCCTTGAGCCCCTACTGCAAAAGATACGAGACTCCCCGACAATACATTGCCTTACAGTAAGACAAAGCGAATACAAAATAGCGGCGCATGCAGATGACATTCTCCTGACGCTAACGAACCAGACCCAATCCATCCCGCCCCTGTTTACACTCCTAGGAGAATATGCAGCTGTTTCAGGATACAAATTAAACCTTGACAAAACTGAGGCTCTCCCACTGGGGATTCCGGAATGAGCCCTCGACAACCTCTGATCCTCACATTCGTTTAGATATAACGAGAATAGCATCCCGTACCTCGGTATACTCTTCCCCACAGACCTCGAATCCACATAAACCCTAAACTATTCCCCTGTGCTCCAACAAGCACTCACAGACCTCCAAAACTGGATCACCATGCCAATCTCTTGGATGGGAAGGATAACCTCCATCAAGATGAACCTGCTCCCCAGATTCCTTTACCTATTCCAAACCCTACACGTTCCAATATCCCAAAAAGAATATAAACTACTTCAAACTAAAATAGATAACTTCATATGGTCCAATAAAAGACCCAGAATAAAGAGAGCCACGTTGTATAAATCTACAAAAACAGGAGGTTTGGGACTCCCCAACTTTTATTACTATTTCCAAGCTGCCCAATTAGCACAAATACAACAACTACACGCCCCACCGGGCCTCAAAATATGGGTGGACCTCGAGCACGACCTATTGGGCAGAGACCACCCCTCACTAATCCTATGGCTTTCCAAACAGTTCAGATTCGGCTGACATATGGGAGGCTACGGCATCCCTTAGGATCTGTGTCAACCACAAGGAGCAAGCCTACAAAATGCTCCTCCGATAGTACCTGACACCCCTAAGACTAAAACAGATGAGCTGCTCGAACATGGACACATGCTGGAAGGGGTGTGGATCTCAGGGCACCTACATCCACGCATGGTGGGAATGTCCCCACATAGCCCAACTCTGGACGGCTGTGGCCGACCTCATGTCCAAACTCCTCTATAAACCTCATGCCCCCTTGATCAAATCGCAGAACAAACTGCTAGTCAAAATCGCATTAGCTACTAGATGCACAATAGCCGAACAATGGGGCAATCAAAACATACCCACCCTAGGGACCGTGCTCTGCAAAACGGAAGAAACCATGGAAATGGATAAACTCTCAGCGTTACTCCATGACACAACCCATAACCACAATAAAATCTGGGACCCGTGGATCATATACCGCCTGACCCATGCTTAAGAAAACCCGAATATAACTGGTCACCCATCATCCGACATCCCTCCCTCCCACCCCCAAACGACACCACCTCCCCGGCCCCCAGCAATCTCCCACCCCCTGCAAACACCCAAAGATAGGAATTATGCCAAATACCACTGCCCCCTTACCCAAAACTAACCTGTCACCCCCAACCCTGCCATAGACTCCACTCGCACCTCACAAGGACCCACACACCAGGAAGACAACCTTCAAGACTACTAAAGAAACTGATACCTGAACACACCCCCTCGGGGGGGAAACACGCACCGCACACACACCCACAAAATGATAAGTGTGAAGTAACCCCCCTATTCCCTATGTGATTTACAGTTTGCATTCCCTTTTATCTTCTATTTGCTGTCTATTGCATTCGGTAGAAGAAACTACCGAACCGGGACCACCCTCTGGCTCATTAAACATCAAAGGTTTAGGTGAAATTGCTACCTCTGTCTGTGCGGCCAGCGTTCGTTAGTCGAGCGCCACGTGGCAGAGAAAACTGCGGCCATCTTTGTTCATGCAAACAAAGGCAGCGGGACCTGGTCGTCGAGTGCATGGAACTGTTTTACGGACACTCGACTTCCCGAACACCGGTCCCAAACAGACGAACGCTGGAACTCTATTTGCGAATAGCAAGAAGAGCGCTATTCAGTACTTTGGTGCATTCGACAGAGGGGCACGAACGCTGCTAGGAGCCAGAGGGATCCATTCGGTACTTTTATTCGTTTTTATGTTTTTCAAAAGTGACTGGCAAAACCCACCAAATTCGTGGAACTGTTTTGGGCATGCAGCCCAGGGTGAGGCGGTCACACAAGACTTCCATAAAATTTGCAAACCCCTGAACCGATCTGGGTGAAATTCAAATATGTTGGTCACCCAGATCAGGGCTATCAGGGGATACATAATTTATGGGGATACCCCCAGTATAAAGAGGTGCTCTGAAAGTTGGGGAAAAAGTGATTTTTCAGCCCGGAGATAATTAAGTTACTATTTTATCAGACTAAATTATCTCCTGGGCTAGGGGAGGGAATTGTAGGTGTGTGTTAACATTTTACTGTTTGTGATTGGTTATTGTTTGTCCCTCTCTGAGGGCTGTCCCCTTGCATGGGGACTTGCATAAAAGCTGTGTGCACCCATTAAAGGACAGTTCATTTTGTACCCTTCTTCTAGACTTCGGCTGATGTTTGGGGATTCGTGTGTTTCACTGAGGGAATTATCTGGTGAGACTATTGGAATTGCTATAGGATTTGTCTACCCTAACTACCGAACGGAGGGCTATAATCACTAAGGCTCTGGCGGTTCGGGAGGAAACTACCGAATGAGATTTAAATATACTTGGTTTCCTTACAATAACTAACACGAGTAACCTAACTCACGCTCCCTGAGAGCACCGAACACCCGAAACTCAGCCCCTACAACGGACCGAGAACCTCGCGCCCCCCTTGACCCCCATCATATGTCCTGTATTCACAGACAACACCCTCTGACGAGACTAGACTTTACAGACCACCGAGATGAGCAGCTCACAGCTCGCCAACTAAAGACAAACGAAAGTTAAAATGCAAATGTGTGTACTGTGAATATATCTGTTCAATGGATGCTAACCCACTATCCACCTTCCCCCTCCCCCCCCCATACCCTTTCGGGTGCTGTATACTACTATTAACTTACAAATTATCTATACAAAACCTATAAATAAAGAATTTACAAAAAAACATCAGATATCTCACCAATGCCTCATGGAAAAAGGGTATTACTTAGTGAGACAGAAATTGTTTTTACATAAGAAAATCTGGGGTATATGGTTAGCTAAACAAACTTAAGGAAAGCTAAGGTGCGGAATACGATGGCTAAAACCTGTTAAAAATAGAAAAAAAAGAAGGGAAAAAAAGAAAAAAATAAGAAGGGGAAAAAAAGCAAAAAACATATATATATATATTTGGAGTGGATAAAGAATAATCTTTACAATGCCCTGAAGCAACTACATCTTTCAAGGGGAGTCTCCATGCCAAGGTAACTGTTTTTTGTGTATGTCGTTCAGTCTCTGTTGAATTAGTAAATAAGAAGAAAGATAAAGGGAAATAAGTATCAACAGAATTTGAACGCTGTTTTTGTGTATTCATGTTTGAATGTTTGTTATATTTCATTTTTGTACATAACTTGATATATACCTATGTATGTATGTTTCAAAAAATGGCACATACTGTTTGTATATTATAAGTAACGTTAATAAAAAATAAATGAAAATAAAATAAACATATAGATACATAGAGAGAATGATAAGGAATCGTGTATAGAATTTATTTATAAACAGCTTTGGCGAAACGCATCGAGTGAGGAGATTGCTTCCATCTGAACTGGTATTAAAGCGTATCACTGATATTATATATTTATTTATTATATGTATTTATTTATTTGTTTGTTATTAATATATTGTTTGTTTTAAATAAAGTACTTTTTTAATTCACTCCAGTCTCTGGATTTGATATATTTTTATTTTTATTCATCTGGCCCCCTACACATCCTGCATATTGCAAGGTAGGGATCATTCCACTTAAAGCTCCAGATTACTAGAGCTGGTCATTGCTCTAGCCCTTGTAAATAGGATACATTTTTATATACCTGATATTAATTATCTAAATATTGCACTATTTGGTCATTTGTCTCCTTACGATATATTTCAACATCTAATGCTGAGATTACTGACTCTTACTGGCTACAGCTTACATCCACAGACTGTGATTGTACCATCCACACGTATTATAAGAGCAGAGCTGTTATAGCTCTATCAAATGTGAGTACATCAGTATGTATCTTTATGGTTATATAATCTTGATCCACAGTCACTAAGCACAGTTCACTATTCTTATTGTTTCGGTGTTATGATAACGTTGGCGATTATAATATATTTTATTTAATGAGGATAAATGAATAAAATTTTATAAAAGGGACCCTATGTTCACCAAAACAACTTTAGCTTAATGAAGCAGTTTTGGTGTATAGAACATGCCCCTGCAGTCTTACTGCTCAGTTCTCTGCCATTTAGGAGTTAAATCCCTGCTTCATTAAGCTAAAGTTGTTTTGGTGACTATAGTGTTGAGGAGAGAGCGCAGTGGTTAGTACTCCATAGACAGATTGCTGGTACCTTTAAAGTCTCAGATTACCACTGCTTCTCATCTTTCCCAAATCAATAAAGTGAGCCCCATTAAGTTGAGTAAAAGTAATATTTACGGTGGACATGGAAAATCTAAAAAAATGAAACACATCCATTTGGTTAAATAATTTGATATCATTTTGTCACGTTTTAATACTGAAACAGGTTTATTTATAGATTGATATGTTGAATATCAGAGACATACAGGCAGTTGTTTATTGCACATGTATATATAGAAGAAAATATAAATTAAAGTCAGATTATTCACATTACAAAATGGGGCGTTCATTACAGATGGAAAAATAAAAGCATCTGTTTTGGCGGCTTCGTGACATGAGACGCTCAATGATCCATGGACTTTAATGTTTACATCCTGCTTTCGTATTCTTTCTTCCCAACAGATTGTCCGTAAATGGTGAGATCTTCTGTCTAGATCTAGTGGGTTCTAGGACGAGGAGAAGATATTAAACATGCGCAACATTTATTGTGCTTCAAATATAGACTTTGAATTGAGTGTTTTCGATAAGCTTTTCAAATGATTTCATAATTTTAGATACATTTTTTAAAATTATTTAATATTTAGAAACATATATTTTAATATTTTTTAAATATATTTTTTAATATATGATGTATATTTTGAAAAGAGAAAATTAACAGTTTATCCAAAAATTAGAATTAATACGAAAAGCTTATCGAAAAATATTAGTCATGATCATAATGCCTCCGACTGCATGAAATTAAAATCTGAATGGGAAAATTGATGCTAAAATAGCCCCACAGTGAAAAGAGATGTCTTGGTATATAGTTGTTGTTTTCTGGAATTCAATATATTCAATGTATGAATTCCAAAAAGCTGGACTGCCATTATTAGCTTAACAATGTGACGACTAATCCTTGTAGTGCTGTGCTCAGACTGGTCAAGCATCATAGGACATGTAGTTACTAGAGGTGAGCAAAGCACTATGGGCATTGTAGTTATTCAATAACTGGGGGTTTACCTTTTGACTATCTCTATACCTAACCAGTTCCAGCTTGGTTTGCTGTCATTTGAGAGCCATTGTACAGTCATTTCAGTACCAGTCACCTAAAACCCATTACCTGCAATAATAATCCTTTTCTCGTGATCGAGATATATTCTTGTGCGTTAAATTTCATGCTTTGATTGCATAAGACTATTGGAAGTAAACAGCCACAAACATTGGGCTCCACTAAATGGTCTATTCTGACTCTGTGTCATAGACAGACTTCGCTGGACTTTGGTGGAGTCTTAGATGGTTTTTGAATTGCTGGGAGATGGTTTGTCTGATTTAATATGTGCAGATCCTGCTGTGGAAAACTGATTTTATTTATCTGACCTTTTTAAGGATAAACAATTATAAGGAAGATGAGACACAATGTAATAATATATATAGGAAGGAGAGGGATGGAGAGGGGGAGAGGTAATAGGGGGAAGAAATGTATAGAAACAATCAGACAAGGGAGAAAGAGAGAGACAGAGAGATACATTTATAGAGAGAGGGAGAAAGAAAGAGAGAGACAGAGAGATACATTTATAGAGAGAGGGAGAAAGAAAGAGAGAGACAGATAGATACATTTATAGAGAGAGGGAGAGAGAAAGAGGGAGATAGAGAGATACATTTATAGAGAGAGGGAGAAAGAAAGAGAGAGACAGATAGATACATTTATAGAGAGAGGGAGAGAGAAAGAGGGAGATAGAGAGATACATTTATAGAGAGAGGGAGAGAGAAAGAGGGAGATAGAGAGATACATTTATAGAGAGAGGACACAGAGAGAGAGAGAAAGAGGGAGATAGAGAGATACATTTATAGAGAGAGGGAGAGAGAAAGAGGGAGATAGAGAGATACATTTATAGAGAGAGGACACAGAGAGAGAGAGAAAGAGGGAGATAGAGAGATACATTTATAGAGAGAGGGAGAGAGAAAGAGGGAGATAGAGAGATACATTTATAGAGAGAGGACACAGAGAGAGAGAGAAAGAGGGAGATAGAGAGATACATTTATAGAGAGAGGGAGAGAGAAAGAGGGAGATAGAGAGATACATTTATAGAGAGAGGACACAGAGAGAGAGAGAGAGAGTGAGATTGAGGAAGGGATAGAGAGTGAGATTGAGGAAGGGATAGAGAGAGTGAGATCGAGGAAGGGATAGAGAGAGTGAGATTGAGGAAGGGGTAGAGAGAGTGAGATCAAGGAATGAATAGAGAGAGTGAAATTGAGGAAGGGGTAGAGAGAGTGAGATTGAGGAAGGGATAGAGAGAGTGAGATTGAGGAAGGGATAGAGAGTAATGGAAGCAGAGAGAAAGGAAAAGATGAGAATGACAAATACAAAAAGATCTAAAAGGCAAAGAAAACCAAAGAAAGAGTGAAGTAAAAAGACAAACTGACAGAAAACAAGTAGAGCAGAAAAGATGTGATGTTTATGATATATGGCATATGATATACAGTATACATATATTATATTTAGTCTCTGAGCAGCAACATTGATTAACTAATTCCCAGTCTGGAAGGTCTGTTTTATATGATATCGGTTTAAGAACTGCATTGCACATGTGGATCTGCACATAACTTACCAAATGGATTTAGCAGCCAAGACCACTCAAGGACCCAATCCTGTCCAGTTTAACTCCGAAACATCCCCTGGAAATGCCCTTTTTGCTCCTTAGCCGATATCTTCTCGAGGATCCCAGTGGGTCATTGAGGAGCTGCTGAAGGGAGATCTCACTGAGATGGGAACTTCCTGCTGGCTCGAGCCTGGTCCTGCTCCACTGATGGTCTGATTCCTGCTGGTCTGTGGGCTCCATATCCCCATTTTCATGTTCAGGCTCTTCATAGCCAAAGGAGTGCTCAAAATTATCCTCTAATAATCTAGACAGACTCTACAAAGCAAACCATAAAATATCAAAGTAGAATATCTCATCCATGTTCTAGCTACTCCATCTACTTCTACAGTTTGTCTAAACATTCTAACCACCTCAACTACTTCTACAATTTGTCTAAACATTCTAGCCACCTCATCTACTTCTACAGATTGTCTAAACATTCTAACCACCTCAACTACTTCTACAGATTGTCTAAACATTCTAACCTCCTCATCTACTTCTACAGCTTGTCTAAATGGTCTAACTACCTTGTCTACTTGTATAGTTTGTCCTGACAGTATAACCACCTCAACTACTTTGGCAATTTGTCAACATGTCGTCCATACATTCTAAAATCACTGCGGAATAAGTTGGTGCTTTATAAATAACAACAATAATAATAACCATCTCATCTACTTCTAGATCATCTATACATTCATACCTCCTCAACTCTTCTACAACTGGTCTACATATTCAGACTTACTCATCTACTGCTATGGCATATCTACACAATCTCACCACCTCAACTACTTTCACAACTTTTCTAAATGTTCTATCCACCACATCTACTTATGCAGATTGTCTATTGACATCTATATCTAGTCGGTTCTAACCATCTCCTCTGCCTCTACAGTTATTCTGTCCGCATACAACAGCTCTAAAATAGTTCATCATTGCATTACATGGGAATCAACTGATGCTGTTTGTGCTTGACAGACTATTCATGATCTAATAGTTCTATTCTGTCTAAACTGCTTAATGTCTATTTTTCATTCTGTCTATGAATTTATAGTGTCTCTGTGCACATATCGAAAACATGGTGTTCTCTGTATAAAAAAACAGTTAACCTCCCCCCCCCACACAAATACAGTTAATATTTTCTGCAAGCAGTATATTAAATGTAATTTAGTTCCTGTGTAATATCTAGATGAGAGAATTATAATTTATTTTTGATTAAAGGAGAGATGTCCTGGTGCTCACCTGCAGGTCAGGCAATGGTTTGGCTCTTGCATGATCTTTCAGAAGGACAAGAAGCACAAAAACAGAAGAGGAACTAAATATTCTGCAAGTCATCATTTTCTGTGTGCAATCTTAGCAATGTCCTGCGTCTCTTTGTGGAGATGTTTCAATGCCCTCTTTATATCCCCAGCTCCACCAGTGATGTCAGATCCCTCACATAACAAGGATTGGATGCAGGAGAATGCCTTGGAACTCTCATGTCATAATGCCAAGTGGTTTTATTATAATTAAATGCAGAATGTTGGTAATAAATTTATTGCAACTGAATTGTTACTATCTGAATATTATTCTGAATTAGCAAAAAAAAAAAAAATTAAACCCATAGACAATGCAGTCAGTTCTCTCAATTCTGCACACATTTTCTCTTCTACGGAATATATGGTTTAATAAAGCGACGTTAAAGCTATGGAACTCGTTTATAACGGCCATTTCTGGGGCAAAGTTCTATCATAGAGCCATTCAGGTGGAACCTTCCGTTAGTTACCATGGTAACTCATAGAACTTTGCTCTAGAATTGCGTTCTGTACTTAACCTGCAAAGTCATTAACAGATGTAATAAAGTCATGAGAAACAAAAGACAGGATTTATTTATTTATTAGCTGGGGAAAAAAATCATCTCACTGCCTTTAATTTTATTTTTTATATATATATATATATATATCTTATATTGTAGGATTTTTTTTCATTATTTCTTATTAAAAAATGAAAACTGATGTTAAAAGAAAGTAGTAGGCAGCATCTGACTAAATTTTGAGAAAATTTTAATAAAAAAAAATATATATTTTCTTTGACTAGACAAAATCACTAAAATCTTTTACAAATTGTGCTTGTGTGCCGATGGCTATAACTAGGGTTGGATTTTTACCATCCTTGCTGTCACAAGGTCAGTTTTCTCAAGGCACCTCCTCCATCTGCCTATGTTTTATTTGTGATGCCATCAGAAATCTCAGAGCCCCCAAAATAAAATCGGCGGCTCCCCCCCATCTAGATACATACCCCTTCCCACTCACACATAGATACACACATACACTTTAAAAACACACACACTGTTCAAGAACACAGACAGAAAAACACTGCTGGACACCAATACACACATACACATGTTTGTGGAAGCTACTTGTAGTGTTGGTGCATGTGTGGGGAGAGTCTTTGTGTGGTAGTATGTGTGTGGGTGGTTGTTTGTGGTGTTGATTGTTTCTGGGGATGCTGCTTGTGGGGGGTGTAACACAGTCACACACTCATGAATGCACACATACAAATCAGTTTACACAGATACATAAAGACACAGACAAATTGACAAATACAGACACACAGTCATGATTGAAATACAGACACACCGTCAAGCATATGAAGAAACAAACACGTAAATTCACATTCACGGATTAACATTCACAGTTATACGTGCACTCATAGATACATACACACATGAACAGACACAAATACCCACTCACAAAGACACAAACACACATACAAATACACACTCACAGATACAAATATCCACTCACAGATACAAATACCCACTCACAGATACCAATACACACACAAATACCTCAAATACCCACTCACAGATACAAATACACACACAAATACCCACTCACAGATACAAATACCCACTCACATGGGGCGGGGCCGGCCGCCGAGCCGACTGGAAGCCATCAGCTCTGGCTCCAGCTCTAAGCCCGGAGAAATGACATAAAAAGTCGGTACCAACCGCACCAAAGTTGGATCCTCCAACACCATTCAACGGAGAAGGACTTCAGCTTTAATCAGATACCTGGAAGAAGCATACCGCACCGAAATAGACACCCGCGGCCTAATAGCCATACGCCTATATACATGCAGCCGTTGAGTGCACCCTGAAGACCAGGAGACAAGTCCTCACGGAACGCCAAGGGGGGAGACAGACGCCTCCTGTGAGACACCTGCACATATGGCACACTGCCCGGGCTCGGGCCCGGCCCCGCTCCCCCCCCTGGCGGGTGAGGTTTATCCCGGCCACATGGCGGCGGCCTACACAGCGGCGGGAGGTCCCGCGCTTGTCCCAAGCCTGCCTCCTGCACTAGCAAAGGCTGCCCGAAGCACAGCCAGCTAGCGGACACGCAAGCTGCCACGGAGAAGAGCCTGCACTAACATGAGGAGGCACTCTCACGCTGCTGTGGGGACCCTGGTGACTGACCCCCGAGAGAGGTGATGGACCCTGCCTTTGGGTTTGGGGGTGACCCAGAGGAGACCGGCCCCCGACGCTGTGAGTCCTGTGGGATGGAGGTGCATCAACCCTTCCGGTGTACCGGTCGCCGTGGGGAGGACGCCCAGTTCCAAGTATGTGGCCGGCGCTCAGCGGAGCAAGGGGTTCCATGTACCTCACGGAAGCACATGTGGTGCTGGGGAGGTGCAGGAGCCGGTCGGAACATGGACTCTTGGTGGGGGGGTCTAATGGACTGATTCGGACTCTGAGTGCCCACAGTGCCACAGGGCGCCATGCGGGAAGGCTGGACATAGCCTGGGGAGGTCGGACGGAGGATTGACGGCCACGGGGGGCCCAAGGCGGCGGGAGTGGGAGTGACTCCCGCCTACTACAGCAGACATAGCATCACTCACTCCATAACACGCAGCAATACTACCTATTTAGGCTGATATGTTACATATAGTCATCTGAGATTAAAATACCAAAGGAATGCACAGTTAATGCTAAAATGCCCATAGGGGCCAACTGATGCATATTTAATTGCGGACTGCTGCATGACAGACTGTACAGTCGCTTATCACTGTAAATCCGATATCCCAAATAGCTTTGTTAAATAATAAGGCAGCAAACTAAAACAAATATGCTCATTATGCTGAAAGTTGAAAAAGTTTTTGTCCTGCTTTGCATTACCCCCTGAGGCGTTGGTTCACAGTTATTGCCTAATGTTTATTACACTATAACCTGTATAAAGCTAGCCCATAGCGAGGACCTGCTTCGATTAAATACCTGAGCTACATGGGCGCAAAATAGTTAGGTTTAATCACCTGCATTGCCGTTACTCATACGACACTTATTGTGGCTTCTATGGGACGCGCCATCCGCGGGCTAATTCGAATAAATAAATACAGTCCCCCGCGCACGGCACCTTATACAGGCTATTACATGCTTGCTAAAATACACACAGCTCAATGTATTGTTGCTAGATATTATTGACGCATAACCACTGTCTGCTGATTTGTCGATTTAATGTACTGCTCTGGAACATACAGATGACTGATATTGTGTGGTACAACTATAATCAGCCTCTGCGCAGGCACATATGCAACTATGATTTTATATAACACTGAGCCTCTGCGCAGGCAACCTTATATTGATTCTCGCTTCTCACACTATGCATGCAATTTTACTGCAAAAACAATAAAAACCATTTAAAACAAATACCCACTCACAGATACAAATACACACACAAATACCTACTCACAGATACAAATACCCACTCACGGATACCAATACAGACACAAATACCACAAATACCCACTCACAGATACAAATACACACTTGCAGATACCAATATACATACAAATACCCACTCACAGATACAAATACACACTTGCAGATACCAATACACATACAAATACCCACTCCGAGATACAGATACCCACTCACAGATACAAATACACACACAAATACCCACTCACAGATACAAATACCCATTCGCAGATACAAATACACACTCGCAGATACAATACCCACTCACAGATACAAATACACACTCACAGGCACAAATACACACTCGCAGATACAAATACACACTGGCTGATACAAATACCCACTTGCAGATACAAATACACACACAAATACCCAGTCACAGATACAAATACCCACTCACATATACAAATACACACACAAATACCCACTCACCAATACAAATACCCACTCGCAGATACAAATACCCAATCACATATACAAATACACACTCGCAGGTACAAATACCCACTCACAGATACAAATACACACTCTATCATATTCCCCCGTCTCATCTTTCCTCCAAGCTATACATGTTAAGATCCTTTAACCTTTCCTGGTCCAAGTACAGATCCCTGAGGTACCCCACTGGTGACAAGCCCAAGCTTCGAATATACTCTATTGACTACAACCCTCTGTTGCCTGTCACTCAGCCACTGCCTTACCCATTCAACAATATTGGAATCCAAACTTAAAGATTGCAGTTTATTGATAAGCCTTCTATGTTCAACAGTGTCAAAAGCCTTACTGAAATCTAGGTAAGCAATGTCTACTGCACCACCCTGATCTATAATTTTAGTTACCCAATCAAAAAAATCAATAAGATTAGTTTGGCATGATCTCCCCGAAGTAAACCCATGTTGTCTCTGATCTTGAAATCCATGTGTTTTTAGATGTTCATCAATCCTATCCTTTAACATGGTTTCCATCACTTTCCCCACTACAGAAGTAAGGCCTACTGGCCTATAGTTGCCCAACTCCTCCCTATTACCTTTCTTGTGAATGGGCACAACATTCACTAACTTCCAATCTTCTGAGACTACTCCTGTTAACAATGATTGGTTAAATAAATCTGTTAATGGTTTTGCTAGTACACCACTAAGCTCTTTTAATAACTTTGTGTGTATTCCATCAGGTCCCATTGACTTATTTGTCTTTACTTTTGACAGTTGAAATAGAACCTCTTCCTCTGTAAACTCACGTGTAATAAATGACTCATTTATCCTTTTTCTTAACTGAGGTCCCTTTCCTTCATTTTCATCTGTAAATACAGAACAAAAATATTCATTGAGGCAGTCAGCCTGACCTTTATCCTCTTCTACATACCTTGCTTCTTTTGTTTTTCATCTAACTTGTTTTACTCTTCTTTTCTCATTTATGTATCTAAAAAATGTTTTGTCCTTTTTTACTGACTGTGCTATTTTCTCTTCTGTGTGTGATTTGGAAGCTCTTATAACTTGCTTAGCCTCTTTCTGCCTAATCTTATAGATCATTCTGTCTTCCTCACTCTGGGTTTTTTTATAATTACTAAATGCTAACATTTTGTTTTTTACTATTTTGGCCACATCTGCGGAGTACCACAGTGGTTTCTTGAATTTTTTTGCTTTTACTGACAAGCCTAATGCAATTTTCTGTTGCCTTCAGTAGTGCAACTTTTAAATACTCCCATTTCTCTTGGACTCCATTTAAATTGCCCC